TTTCCTTTTCCTTTTCCTTTTCCTTTTCCTTTTCCTTTTCCTTTTCCTTTTCCTTTTCCTTTTCCTTTTCCTTTTCCTTTTCCTTTTCCTTTCCCTTTTCCTTTTCCTCTCTCTGAAGGCTGTGCAGAATTTCACCCCCAGCAATACCAGCAGGGTGTCCTGACAGAACTCCCGGTGTTGCTCACACAGCTACCAAGTGTTCCAGCTCCGAGGAGCACATCCCGGGGGACACTCAGGGCTGGCTTTTCCAGAGTTTGCTTCGGATCAGCAAATTCAGCTAAAATTTGGGAAACTCCAGCTTCGAGTTCGGTGGGGAGGACAGGAGCCCGAAGCCAGGTCAGCAGAAGGAAAGAAGTCACTGCAGGCACAGGCTGAGCGTGTGCAGGTGAGATTCCCCTGCAGGGGCATTTCCTTGGACACCAGCGTGCTTCCATCAGGATAATCCCTGCTTTAAAATGCATTCTGCTTCCAAAATGTTACAGCGTGTGAACGTGCAGTGCCGATGCTTTAGGGCTGCGAGTGGATGGAATTGTTAAGAGTAATTCATTTGGCAGGAAGCCTAAACGCTGTTTGTTTGTTTATTTATTTATGAGAAAACTTTGTATGCAGGTGGGGAATGAGCAGAGCTCCTGCTCTTGAGCACAGCAACACTCCCAGTTACAAACACCCGGCAGAGTTCTCACTGCTTTATTAATTTTATTAATTTTATTAATTGTATTAATGTTATTAATTTCAGTGTCCCCTTACACAGAGATCAGGCCACAAAATGCTGTGTACGGCTCTGGCAGAGATGTCACTCTCAGGTTTTTAATGGGCAGGACACCCGAAAAGCTCAGCTTGCCAGCACCAGCGTTTTCCCTTGTTCACTGGGGTTTCTGTGGCCATGAATTCCTCAGTTTTCACTTATCAGGATCTCTGTGGTCACGAATTCCTCAATTTTCACTTTTTCTTTGGGATCTCTGTGGTCATTAACTCCTCATTTTTCACTTTTTCACTGGGATCTCTGTGGTCACAAACTCCTCATTTTTCACTGGGATCTCTGTGGTCATGAACTCTTCAATTTTCACTTTTTCGTGGGGATCTCTGTGGTCGCAAATTCCTCAATTTTCACTTTTTCACTGGGATCTCTGTGGTCATGAAGTCCTCAGTTGTCACTGGGATCCCTGTGGTGGCAAACTCCTCATTTTTCATTTTTTCACTGGGATCCCTGTGGTCACAAACTCCTCATCTGTCACTTTTTCATGGGGATCTCTGTGGTCATGAAGTCCTAATTTTTCAGTTTTTCACTGGGATCCCTGTGGTCACAAACTCCTCATTTTTCACTTTTTCACGGGGATCTCTATGGTCATGAAGTCCTAAATTTTCAGTTTTTCACTGGGATCTCTGTGGTCACGAACTCAATTTTCACTTTTTCACGGGGATCTCTGTGGTCATGAACTCCTCAATTTTCACCTTTTCACTGGGATCTCTGGGGTCACAAACTCCTCATCTGTCACATTTTCATGGGGATCTCTATGGTCATGAAGTCCTCAATTTTCACTTTTTCATTGGGATCTCTGTGGTGGCAAACTCCTCATTTTTCATTTTTTCCCTGGGATCTCTGTGGTCACAAACTCCTCAATTTTCACTTTTTCACTGGGATCTCTGTGGTCATGAACTCTTCAATTTTCACTTTTTCACTGGGATCTCTATGGTCATGAAGTCCTCGGCCAGCGTCACCTCCCGCCCACCCATCACGGCCTCCGCCTGCCTCCGGAGCTCGGTGACGGCGGTGTCGCCGTGGCCGGGCTGCCCGGCGGGCCGGTACCGCTGGCTGAAGTGGGTCAGCACCAGCCTCGCGGCGCGGCACCTCTTGGCCAGCTCGGCGGCCGTGGCGGGCGTGCTGTGCCCGCGCTGTCGCGCCTTGTCGCGCTGCCCGTCGGCCAGCGTGGCTTCGTGCACCAGCACGTCCGCGTCCCGGCACAGCCGCTCCGCCGCCTCCCCCAGCGGCCCCGAGCAGTCGCCCAGCACGCAGATCTTCCTGCCGGGAATGGGAGCGTCCAGCACATCCCCGGGAAAAAGCGTGGCTCCGTTTTCCAGGACGATGGAGGCGCCGCTCTTCAGCTTCCCGTAGGAGGGACCCGGCTGCACTCCTGGTGGGTAAAGGCAAAAGAGCCCCTGAGGATTGTACCCATTGTATCAGCCTGGAAATGACAGCCCTAGAGATGTGCTAGGCGTAAAGCTGTCCCACTGGAAGAAAAGCACAGCCTCAGGGTAAAAATCAACAGGTATTTCACTTTTTTGATACCAATTAAGGGCTCGTAACCTTAGGAGGAAGTGTGTTTGAAGAAAATTATAGAAGTTAGGGTTGGAAGGCACCTCAGAGTTCATCCTGCACGGGCAGGGACAACTTCCACCATCCCAGGGTGTTCCAGCCTGGCCTTGGACACTCCCAGGGATCCAGGGGCAGCCACAGCTGCTCAGGGAAACCATATTAAAAAAACCCAATTATATTGCTCGTATCAAAGTCAACAAAACCATGCAAATACTGGCCATATGTTTTCCTGACAGCCACGCTGAGCTGTTTAAACTTTGGCCCCTGAACTCGTTAGGTGCTCCCAGCATGAGAATGGTCTGTGGTATTCCCCGTCTGACCAGTGTTACACACCAGGGCGGTCAGGTGACAAAATGTCCGTGGCAGAAAAGAGAAAAGGGAGTTAGAACAGACTACGGGGAGAGACAGCAGCTCTGATTCGCTGCAGCACGAGGGAAGGTGGTCGTAAGAGGAGTGACAAGAGGGAAAATAAGCCAGGGTAGGTACCAAGGTCTTTGAGTTTCTGCACGTTGAGCTTCCCGGGCCGGGGCTTCTCTTGCAGCACGAAGCCGAAGGAGGGCACGCGGTGGAAGAGGCGGAACGCTCTCACCACCAGCTGCTCGTCCTCCACCAGCAGGTAGGAATCTTCTCCGGCGTCCAGGTGCAGGACTCTCCCCGGGGGCCCCTGGGAAAGCTCCTCACCTCTGTCCAGGCTGGAAAAGTCCTTGAATTCCTCAGGGGGGCACTGGTCCCGCGTGGGGACCAGCTCGTGGACGGTGATGGGGAAGAGGAGCTGGGAGTGGGACAGCTCCAGGCTCCTCCAGAGGAAGCTCCGCAGCCCCAGGGGCCCATAAATATCAACGGGGGCTTTGCTGGCATCATTGCTCTGCAGGCTCAGCGTGCACAGCAGCCCAGGCAGTCCAAAAATGTGGTCGCCGTGAAGATGAGTGATGAAAATCTTGGTAATTCTGGCTGTTGATTAGGGCAGGAAGAGACAAAACCAGGAAAATAAATAAACAATGCAAGGACTCAGAAATGATCGCTGTTTGGCAAGACGTTTGAAATAAGCAAGGAGGGAAATTAAAACTAGTGTTTAACAAACAAATCCCAAACCAGAAGGGATTTCTTTCCCCATCCATCCCTTCCACAAGGTTTATTTTGGCCTGATCTGCCAAGGAAAGGCTTCAGAGATGCGAGTCTCAGCTCCTTCTAAGCCAGGCATTCTACAAGCATGGAATGGGCCTGGCTGGGGACATCTGCCATGTGAAATGCAAGGAAGTGCAGGGCTTAAAGCTTAAAATCTTAAAATCTGACCTTAAACCTTACAGGAAAACCGTAGACTAACGAGGAACGCAGTCGGGAATTAGTGTTGCTCCTCCTTTTGACTCTTAACCCGTGAAACGAACGAGTTCAAAAATAACCAAAACCAAACCAGCAGTGTCTATTCCAGAGGGTTTTAAGAGGCAAGAAGCCCAGCAGCTCCTGACTGGTTTGTTTAAAACAAGAGAGCAGTTGCTCTGTGAACGCCTGGGCTCTCTCGTGTGCCTTGCCCCAGGTGAGAAGAGCCCAGAACTGTCTCTGGTTGCACACACACCTCCCTGAACCAGGCTGCCTCTGTCTCCTCTGCTGAGCTCCCACTTCCACACAGCAAGGCATCTCCTCCTGCACCTGGCAGAACCTCCTTCTTTGGCTTTCAGAGGAATTCACTAGAGAATTTAGTGGAAACCCGTCTATCTACCTGTCACTAAATCCCCTGACGGGTTTTGGAGGAGCAGCAGCTTGTATTTCTGTTTGTCACTGACGATCCATCTTCACTCCTTGGGAGACAGAAGACAGCTCCTGCCACCGAGGGCTGGGAAAGCACAGTGACTGAGGGGAGCTGCATTTCTCATTTATTTGCCCAGACCCTGAAAGTTCCCCGCACCACGCAGAGCCCCGCTTGGCAAGAGACGTTCAGCCACAGGAAGGCAGGTTTGGTGCAGAGCTGCCTGCAGGCAAACCGCTCCCGTTTCTGTGCTGCCCGCTGGGAATTGCCAAGCCCGAGGAATTAATTCGGAGTGGCTCCGGCAGCCGGAGGTGGAGTCCCCACTGCCCTGAGACGGGGGCCGGGAAGGAACGGCTCATTAAATTAACTAAGACCATCAGGAATATCTGATATTTGCTGTGCTCGCAAAATCGGGCGGAGAGGCAAACGAGCGTGCGATAAGCGAAGTTAAAACTTGTAAATGGGGTGAGGGGTACAAGCTACTGGTAATAAGTCATAAATTTAAAATCTCAAAGCCTAAAACGTGCCCAAAAGGCTAGGACGCACGCTCCCAAAACAAAGTCGAAAAATTCTAGTACGATAAAGAATTTGAATGCTTTTGTCAAAGAATTGAATTAGGGAAGCACAAGCGCAAAAGGACTTTTGGTTCATGTGAATACGAAGCGAGAGTAAGAGAGACTAGGAGGGGCTAGGACATGAATATGTATGAGGAGTTTTGTGCAATCCCGGGCGTTTGGGGAATAAATTGGGCAGGAGTTTGAAGTTTTGGTGCTCGTGTTTTGGGAGGAGCTATCCCCGTGCGCCTCAGGGTTGGATCCACCTGGGATAGTGGGAGGTGTCCCTGGGTTGGAATGCCATGAGATTTAAGGTCCCTTCCCGCCCAAACCGTTCCATAATTCCATGGAATTCTATTTACAAAACACTTCCAGGGATGGGAAGTTCATACTTCTGCTGGAAATCTGAACCGATTCCTCAGAATAAGGAGGGGAATTTCCTGATTTTTTTTTTTTTCTGATTTCCTTCCCTTTCTCGTTTCCCTGAATCCCAGAGCACCTGGACACCGGCTCTTCACCCCAAGAGCCATTCCAGGGAATCCCCAGGCTCTGTTCCAGCTCATTCCCACTCATCCCACTTTCCCCCTCCTGTATTCTACCTTCTCCTGGCCAACGCACACCTCCTTTACGGCTCTCATTTCTCACAGGTTCCAGAGCCCTTCCCGCCTATCACCGCACACGCAGCGCCTCGCCGGCACCGAGCCGAGCCCCAGGCGGGCACGCACCTGCCCGGAGGTGGCTCCTCATGAGCTGTGTCTGCGTGCCCTCGCCGCAGTCGAAGAGCCAGCACTGGCCCTCCCTGCGCAGCGCCAGCGCCGAGGCTCCGCGGGACGGCGACGGGAAAGCTGCGCCCGTGCCCAGGAAGGTGATCTCCAGAGACATCCCCGCTGCGAGGCACCTGCAACACACACCTGGGGCTCAGGGGTGCCGGCAGGCGCTGCTGGCTGCTCCCTGTGACAGGGACAGCACCCAGCGAACGGCCGGAGCTGTGCCAGGGAGGTTTAGGTGGGATATCAGGGAAAGGTTCTTCCCCCAGAGGGAATTCCCCCAGAGCTCCAGGAGAGTTTGGACACTGCTCCCAGGGATGCACAGGGTGGGGTTGCTGGGGAGCTGGGCTGGATGATCCCTGTGGGTCCCTTCCAGCTCAGGGGATTCTGTGATCTGATGAGTTTATGCAGGGAAACCAACAAACGCTTTTGTTTTAAGTCAAGGCATCCTCCACAGTTCAGTGTGAGGATCAAACTCCCTTTCCTTTAGCACATAAAAGTAAGACCTCCCTAGAGCAGGATATGGCTTTCAGACAACACATTATTTACAAGCAGAGATTTCCTTGTTATGTCGGTGGAAGATTGCAAACACGCAGCCCAAGCCCAAGCCCTTTGTGGATTACCAGAGAAAACAGCCCTATCCAGTTGGAACAGCTCTAATCTCTACCCCCACCATAATTTACGTCCTCCGAGCTCTGCTTAAATGGGGTTTTCCTGCGTGAGAGCTCCTTCTCAGAATGACTTTCCCCGAACAGTGTCTGCCGACATTTCAATGCCAATCCCGGATTTCAGGAGCCCAGAGGTGCAGAGGGGCAAGGCTCACTTCCCTCAGAGCAACTCCAGAGCCCACGAGAGGCAGGGGTGGCCCGAGGGCACAGGCCAGGGAGCAGCTGTGCCACCCACATGTCTGTAGCCCGGCTGCTCTGCAGGGCTGGACAGCCTTCGGACAACGGTGTCAGGAGCACGACAGCCACATGGACAGCTCTCTCACCTCATGGACCGTGCTCCCCCCGGCCTCACACTTCCCAGAGTTTGCTCCTGCCTTGTTTCCAGAAGAATTTAAAACTCCAGGTGCCTTAGTATCTAAAGATATCTTTCAAAATAATTTCTGAAGTTCAGTCGTTTTTTAGAGGAGTTTTCACAAGCTTCCAGTTTCTGGGCACAGGGTGCCCAGAGCAGCTGTGGCTGCCCCTGGATCCCTGGCAGTGTCCAAGGCCAGGTTGGACAGGGCTTGGAGCAGCCTGGGACAGTGGAAGGTGTCCCTTCCTGCCCATGGCAGGGGGTGGCACTGGATGGACTCTGAGGCCCTTCTAACCCAAACCATTCCGGGATTCTGGAATCCCAGAAGAAAGCACTCTCTTCCCAGCTGGGCTTGCAGGGTCCTCCCCAGCACGCCAAGGTGCAACCTGACCTTGGGGGCTCGGGGAGAGCCATGATTCCTGTCCATCACAAACCAAAATGCAGAAACAAACACTTCGCAAATACAAGTATTTGCATTTTCCTTTTCCTCTGTGTAAAATCATGGAATCATATGAGAATTGAATGGTTTGCCACGTGCAGGGACCCCTTCCACTATCCCAGGCTGCTCCAAGCCCCAGTGTCCAGCCTGGCCTTGGACACTGCCAGGGATCCAGGGGCAGCCACAGCTGCTCTGGGCACCCTGTGCCAGGGCCTGCCCACCCTCCCAGCCAGCAATTCCTTCCCAAGATCCCATCCAGCCCTGCCCTCTGGCACTGGAAGCCATTGCCTGTGTGCTGTCCCTGCCTGCCTTGTCCCCAGTCCCTCTGCAGCTCTCCTGGAGCCCCTTCAGGCACCGCCGGACCGACCTCCCCTCAGCCACCCCCGGCCCCGCCCGCGCTTCCCGGCCCGGGCTCGGGGCCTGTGGGACACACGGCGGGGCCGGGGACACGGGGATGGGCTATGGGGGCTCGGGGACACGGGGATGGGCTATCGGGACACGGGGATGGGCTACCGGGACACGGGGATGGGCTATCGGGGCCCGGCCCGGCCCGGTCCCGGCCTTACCTCCCGGGCGGCGTCAGGCGGGGCCGGCGGGCGGGGCCGTGAGGGCAGAGCCCGCCCCGCGGCCCCAGCTCCCGGCTGCCGGAAAATGCGCGTCTAAAGTGCACCTTGGAATTTATTATATGGGGAAAGGCCAAGTGCTGGAGCTGCACCTGTGTCAGGGCAGCCCCTGGGGTCGATCCAGGCTGGGGATGAGCAGAGGGAGCAGCCCTGGGAGAAGGAGCTGGGGGTGCTGTGGGTGAGAGCTGGACCTGCCCCAGCCTGAACCCCCCTGCCCTGGGCTGATCCCCCAGCGTGGGCAGCAGGGCAGGGGGGATTGTGCCCCTGTGCCCCTGTGCTCA